CTTTTTTTTTGGGGGGGGGGGGACAGGAGCTGGCTATGTAGTTTAGGCTAGCCTGGACTCACTACATAGCAGACTGGCCTCAAAATTGTGGCAGTCCTCCTGCTTCAGCTTTCAAGTGCTGGGATTATAAGCATGGTCCACCATACCTGGCCCTCATGGAAGATATTTTTATAAATTCTTATCAGATAAACTTAACTCTATACTTAACATAATGTTTAAGATAATTATGGCAACTATAACTTAATCAGCTGTCAATTTTGAAAGTTTATTTGGAAGAATTATGGTTCTAAAATATTACTTAAAACCACTGCAAAAAAGTAGAGATTTCCTTCAAAAATCTCACCATAAATCTGAAGGGTCCAATAGATACTGGGAAAAGGGAATGAACTTATACAAAAGGAAAGTTACTGAGTTGAGAAGGACAGGAGAGTGAGTGGGAGAAAGGAATTTACTAGGTATGTAAGCAGGAGGGTTTGGACAACTGTACTGTGCATTTCTGCTGGTCTGTGGAAAGGAGCAGATAATAATTTGTTTTATCTCCTTTTTTCAATTGTTTGTACTTTTTCTCCTCTTAATTGCTTATACATTTCTTTCTTGCTCCAATTTTACATGCATATATCCAGCAATATGAATAACTGGTTGGAAGAAAACACTATATTACAAGAAATACTGTGTAATTCATATTAATTTGTTAAGTGAAATTCTGTATCACTTGTAATTTTTTGTTTTAATTTAATTTGCACACTTTTTTAAAAAATAAAAAAAGACTCAGCATATTCTCTAATAGTAATCCAAAAGAATAAGAATTATTTTGTTGGCAAAATTGTAATGATCATTAAATAAACTTCACTGAAAACTTTAGTCCCCAGAAGATATATAATCATCTTAAGGTTGACTATGTATCAATTTCAAGTACAATCTTTACCTCCTCCTGCTCTCCTTCTCCTCCTCCTCAGGGTGCTATGCATATACAAGAGATCCATTAATTAAGGCTATATTAAAAGCGTAAATCTACAGTTGTTCACAAAGTTATGATGTAACAATCTATTTTCAAAAAACATTCAGAGATTCAGAATATGGTTCCTGGGAACAATGACCCACATGGAGGATTGAAAAATTAAAACTAACACCTCTGTAACACTTTAATGAAAATCAACTGTATAAAAACAGTACTCAGGGCCAGCCAAATAGCTCAGTGGACTAAAGTGCCTGTAAGTAGACGCAGGGGCCAGATGTTCGATCCCCAGGCCTGCTATGCTGGCCCATCCCTGGGGAGCACTGAGACGATGATTGAGACTGGGCATGGTGGTGCGCGACTGTAATCCCAGCTCTTGGGAGGCTGTAAACATGCGGATCACTACGAGTCCAATCTAGTAGTGAGACCCTGAACACCCTGTAGACCCTGCCCTAAAAATACAAAAGAAGTACTCAAAAACATATTTAATCCCTAAATTCTAACATTAGTAATTGCATCAAAAAATAAACTTAGAACTATATTGTCATAAGTAATTAGCCTTTCAATGCCCAGTGATCCATTTTTGGAATTTCCATAACAATGGAATGGAATGAAATGTGTTCTCTTCAAATTCTTGTTTTGAATTTTTCTAAGTAACATATATGAATTCTATGCAAAAATTCAAAAAAATTAAATCTTTGGCTTACATGAGTCAAAATTTACTATATACTATATATCAGGAACAGTATTAAATGCTAGCATTTATTTCCCGTATTTCTCAAAACAACCTTATAAAGTTATTCCCATTTTATAACTTAGAAAATGGGTTATCCAAGAGATAAGGTAGTTTGCCCAAAGTCAATTCTAAGAAAGTGAATGATAGAGTTAGGATTTACACCGAGATTACCTAATCTTCACCAAAACTATCACACCATAGTATCTCAGCTGTTGTCAACTTCAATTCATTTAGCTGTGAAACTGCTTTAATTCAAAGTATGCTAAAGACTTAAATACACTGCTGTATTCTAATGACGACTCTCAACATAGAATCTAAGTTTGACAACTAGAGTTGATTCTAATTGCTATGATTAACTTTATAAAGTAGACACAAGCAAGAATCAGTTATTGATGACAGAGGCAAGGTAAATACTACCTCAATAACTATTTATCAAATAGATATCCATATTATAGACTAGGCTCACCGAACTTGGCTAACTTGGAGGTAAGACGCAGATGATCTGGGAACTGTTTCTGTAATGCACCCCACAAATACCACCCAGCAAGCCTCCAGCGGCACCACTGCCTTGGTCAGCAAGTCTCCTCCTTTCAGAAAAGATGGATAGTGTTATTTATAATTCATTGCTCAAATACACATTCTGTGCTAAAGAGGCAGATATAATTACAGGTCCTTGTCAGCCACATCAAACTTTCCAAAGCAAAACATTTCTAGGGTAGTCTAGCCTCTGGCCATTTCTACCGGCAAACTCACCAAATACACAGCTTCTGTTCCATCAGGCTATAAACAGTCTGGATTTTTCTTAGTGGAATAAAGACCATTACAACTTTTTTGCAGGAAAATCTCCAAAACTTTTTAAATATCAAAAAGCTGACAAAATGTCAATACTTTAAAATAAATCTTGACCCAGTAAGAACTGGCACAGGGCCTTTTATTTTCTTGCAGTCAGCAAAACTACAAACCTATAAAATTCAAATAGTAGTTAAGGGCCTGAACTCTGAAGTAGCTCCATATAGGGTGAGTCACTTCCAAACTCAGCCTACACTGAATTCTTTTTCATAACTTGGATATGCTGGCAGACACTGCTCTTAAGTCCTATAACTGTTCCATGAGGAGAGAAAAAGCAAGGCTATGTGGAATTATACCAATTATTTTCTCTAAAAACTGTTTGCCATGAGCAAAAGAAAATGCATGTTCTTGCTGACGCTGAGGCTCAACTCTGCTTTACAGTTCATTCGAACTCAGAAAGTACAGCTCCTAGCCCTGTACTGGTCTAGATCTTTGTAAAACTAAAAAAGGCAAAAAGTGTAGGTTAGTAAGTGAGAAGGGAGAACAAAGGAACAGAGAGCTAGAACAGCACGTAGAACTACTGTATACCCAGGCAAAGAATTCACTGAGCTCACAAGTCAGAATGTTTGAATATTTGAAGTTATATTTCAATAAAAAAGATATTTTAATTAATTTTAAAGGGCTTCGTACATTGTTATATATTTTCAAAAGAATTACTTAAAACCAATTGCTATTTTGAATTTGCAAGAGACTGTATCTACTTAATTCTTCAACTACCTTCTTTGGGGGTTCTTTTTAATAATAATAATCATACTCATCAAACATATTCTTAATTCTGAGATTATATAGTGAATTTTCATTAAGAGATAATTCATACTGACTTCCTCTACATAACTAAACCAAAAATTTGTTCTTTAAATATTTCATTGTAATAGTTAATTGTTAACTTCAATTTTAAAAGATTACTAAATTCCATAAAGTGTAGTTTTTAATATTACTTTTAGAATGTATACATAGTAAAATAAATCTAACTAATATTTAGGCTTCCTTAATAAGTTCCTTTAATAGTCCTAATTTGCTTAAATTTATTTCCTACCACTTTGCCCTATAACTGAAAAGAGAAAAAGAAAATGTTACTTTGCCAATAGTAAACAATCTATTTATTTATTCACTTTTTTTTGGCGGTACTGGGGGATGAATTCAGGACCTTGCACTTGCCAGGCAAGCACTTATTCTATTGAGCTATCTCCCCAAACCAGAATAATCTAGAACATTAAGACAGAATTTCTATTTTGAAGGTTCAATACAGTATGCTGTAGAATAGAAAGAACTATATCCATGCAGTTCTTGAAATTCAAACTATTTAACAACTATTTAAGAAAACTGTAAAGTTGATTTGTGTGTTATTCCTTACGAATATTCATTAATTAACTAAATACATATTTTAAAAACTTGGTCTACTCTGCAACTTCAAAAAATACAATTTTATTAATGTGTTTATGTATCCTTCTTTCATCTGTTTCTATTTCAAGTAAGACAGCTGGCAGAAATTTTTAAAAAAGAAAACAAAAGACACATTTTACATTAAGAAAGAAACTGCAAATGCACCAAAGGGATTTTGTTCAATTCTGACTCTGGCCCAATCGAGAGATATAGGATGTATCTACAGGAGGTCTTTGGAGTATCTTATGCCTAAATTGCACACTTCCAAAATGCATGCAATGAAACTTAATTCCCAATGTTAGCATGCATAAAAGTGGGCCTTTGAGGGTCAGGTCCTAGGATTACAGTCCTTCTAGAGGCCTCAGGAGTTCTGTGACACTTCTGCTATGGAAGGTTCCAATCAGAATATGGTGACCTCTGAGCAAGAAGAGCTTCACCTAACTGAGTCTCTTGCTTCTTGGGCCTAGACTCCCAGCCCCAGACGTGTTGTTTAAAAACCACCTCATCTACGGTATGGTATTAGAGCTGCCCACAAAGGCTAACACAAGGCACAGATTCAAAAGCACTAAGTAGGAAAGTCGACCAACTTACGGTTTCCATAACATCCTTCCTTCCTAGTAATATGTCACACATTTCAAAGTCTATAAACAAATCAATTATGAGATGACATCAATCTAAGCACAGTGATAATGCAAGAGAGAGAACTCAGAAGCTAAAGGTTTACACAGAACCTCCCAGGTTAAGTAGGTCCACAGATCCTGGTGATGGACCCATGAAAACACATTTAGCAGCTCATTTCTGCATTAGAAATTAGAGCTTCCATGGGCAGGCACAATTCTAAGAAAATCTGAATGTTTCATATAATTCACATTGCCTTGAAAAGTGAAAACTTTAAATATCACATTTTCAAATGAAGGTATTCTTTAAAATAGTCCTAGACTTTTCAAAGTAACTGATAAAATTAGTTTGATTTAAATGAGAATTTTTACTTGCTTACACAAAATTCAGATTTATCAAGACTCAAGGCTTGACTACATTTTTTGTTTTTAAATGGAGTAATGAAACAAAATATAATACCTTCTGGATGTTTTTCTCCCAAATGTTAAAATGAGTCCTGAGAATTAAGTTCTGAAAAAGTTGACAATCCAAACACTTCCTGGAAATTAAGAAAAATACATGTTACTCCCAGTGTCTAACTCAAAGAATTGTACAGCATTTTCATACTACTAAAATAACTTATCTCAGAAAACAACAAAAACGATGTATTGCAAGGTAAAAAGGATTCCCATGCATGCTTTCCTTCAACACAGCTGTTGGCCATATCAGAGAAAATAAATGATACTACAGATTCACAAAAATATAATTTAATATATACTTAGCATTACACTAAAATAAAAACTGTCATTCTCAAGGATATGAGAAGTTAATGTTAAAGACAAAGAGGAATTTCCATCAAGGATTCTGGGAGTATTAGAATTATGTGATGTCGTCACACAGTTTGAAATGCCTCATTTTTCCCAATAAATAGGTACAGTAAATGTTAAACTAAGAACGAGAGCCATCCTAGGCATAGAATGATACCCACACGTCAGAAAGTCTATACTTAGAAAGAGGCTTTGGTAATCCGAATACATAGCCTATACTTTGGAACTACAAGGATTAAAGAAACTTTATACTGATCAATAGGCTAACAGAGAAGGTAGCCCTGAGACAGAGAAAAATGCAAGCTTCCTGATTCCATTAAGCCAGCATTTCATGTGTAGTAGCCTGGGCACTTACATCTGACTTACCCTGCGACAGCCCTGAATTCCTATCCCAAAAAAATGGTCAGTTCTCAAAGATTATACTTTTGACTAAAATACAGCCATAATCTGAATTCTAACTTTCCCAAGTAAAGTAACTATTTTTTATTGGCATTTAATTTTATCAGGGCCCTTCAGTCTTCAAGTACCAACATCCTAACTGAGTACCTTCTTCAACCACTAGACTTCTAGATGTCTTTCCTTGTATCGTGCTTGGTGTTATTCTCCCATCCTCTGAATCTCCTAAAACCCTCCATGGTACAAAGCACATGAGTGATGCTCAATAAGTCTATGCTAAATTCAATTTACATAACATGTTTAAAGTAAAAATAAGTAATGCAAGATGAAAGACTGGAGTTATACGAACCAAGTACAATACTAGTCCTTCAATAACTGCTCATCTACATATACATCCACACTCCCTTTTTCATGAGGAAAACTCCTAGGACCTATGCCCCTGCTCAATGCCCAGACAACGGGCCCTGTGGCAGGTCTCCCTTCTGCTCACCAAAGCGGGAATTTGAGTGCCTCTCAGGTGTGAGGTCCTGCTCCAAGTGGAATGGTAACTGGACGCTAACAGGAACTCACTAAATACAGACATCAGTAATGCCAGAGCAATCGTCTATCAAACACACATATAAACAAGACATCTTGAATCATAACTAAGAGCAGAATATCCCCAAGACCTTGGGAATGGACAGAGGGTACCTCTTTAAAAGAGTTTATAACTAGAGAGAAGACAAAACAAAATAAACAGAAAGAGAAAAAACAAAACATGCCAAAAACCCTAAAGAGACCTTCAAGTGATTGTGGGGGGAAAAAAGCATTATCATTTCCGATTAGGGCACTACTTTTTCAGCAGCTAAATAAAAACATTACCAAATCATTTTATGTAATAAAACTTCACCTTATTTTGACCTTCCTCATAAAGCAAACAAACCTCTCCATCCAATAAGGTTCCATCTGAACTATGTAAGATGATAAGCAATACCTTAATTGCATTCATTTACATGACTTTGAAACTATTCTGGGCTGAAGTCACTGACTGCAAGGTCAGAGAATACAAAAAAGTAGAATGTAAGCAATTTACAGAGGAGAAATGATCCACTTGCAACTGGGAAGCGCCTCCTCTACCCCTCACCAGGAGCCACCAAATGCCTAATGCAATCAACAGGTGCACACAGCTCTATTTCAAATATATCACACACATACACATTAAATTTATAAATCTATGTATGCTAGTAAGAATATATATTTAAATAAGCTCATCATACACTGATTTTTTATTCAGTCAATTTGCCTAAATAGATTAAAAAATAATTCTGTATCCCAATAACATTTAAAATCAAAATACAAAACACGGTATTTCTTCACTGCTTCATAAAAATTTCTGAAGAACTAAAGTCAGGCTATAGAGCTGTATTTCAGGAAAACAATTACAATCAAGACATTTTTAGCATATTAAGACCTTCTGCTTTTATTCTTTATGACTACATAAGCACAGTTCAACTAACTTGCTGAGCAGGTTTGCAATGCCTCAAATCCAATCTAAATACCACATTAGTAAAAGGCAATATATGTACAGAAACTGCCATATTACAGGGGACCATGCATATTCTTCAAAACCTCCCTTAGAACATAGCAAGGAACACAGAAAAATTTACTATAGAAAATACTTAACCTTTAATTTAGTTACAAAAATCTAGACATACAATCAATTTTCAATGAATAAAGTCCAAGTTCAAGTTCAGACCCATGTCAATCTCAAGTGACCATAGGAAATTCACCACAAAGCAAGTATCCATGTGTGTTTTACTGTCTATACTTTTAAATGTATGCATTGTAAATTTTGTATTTGCAAGTATGACGGCTGGGCAGACTCTATCTTTGGGGGCTAGCCAGTTCTTCAAGATGGCAAAGGGCTCTGCCCCAGCTGCCTTTCATATGCAAACTAACTGGTCCAAACCATAACCCCTCCATCTGGTCATTGTAAGGAGGCAGCAAAAGAACTTGACTCTGCCTTCATATCATGCAGCAGTCAAGTTCTAAGCAAACTAGGAACCATCCCTACACCTTAAAGCTTTTATACGGTTAGCTTACTGAAAGCTATTATTACTGCTCTGTGCCTATAGTTCGTTTTTATTATCTTTCTGTACTTTATTCAAACAGCTAACCCTAATTTTGGTCACCCTGCCCTGCACTGTCCTTCCCTGGAAAGCCACTAAAGACCACACAGCCCAGGCTCCACTATAGCCCCTCCTGATGAGGGCTGCTGTTTTCCCACACTGCCTTGAGTGGCAAGCCACGCCTCCTAGGACCTGGGAGTGTAATAACGTTGTTTTCCTGAGAGTCTCTTGTGTCTTCTATTAACTACACCTGACTAACCACAGAAACGAACACAGAACCTTGTGTGTGACTGTGTGTCTGTGTCTGTGTGTATGTGTGTGTACCTCTCTTCACCTCCCTTTTCTTTTCGCTTTTCTCTTCCTCAGGTCTCTGAACAAAATATAATACTTTAAATATATATATATCTGTATGGCGATAAGTTACCCATGTCTTTCGAAAGAGTTGCCTAAAGAATTTTCAATTTGAATTAAATTGTGGACTGATAATACTGTTCATATAACATACAAGAATAAGGCAACTCTAAAAGGAACTAAAAGAAAAAAAACCTTCATAAACATGAAACACCTGCTACAGAACATGTTAATGCACAATTTTATCTGGGAAATATTTTGCTTCCTCCCTCACCTGTTTCCCCCACCCATCTCACATGCAATTCCATAAACAGCAGTTATCCCCATTATAAAACAGTTGACGGTTAAAACAATGAGCCAACCGTGAAAGTACAATATTCCATAACTGACATTTACTGCACTGGCCTTGGACTTCTAATCTTTACCAGACGGGCACACAAATCAATCCATCAGCTCATAAAGGTGTGCTTTTTTAACCTCTAAAACAGATGGGATTGGCCAGAAGTGTCTGGCATGTCAAACTGCTAATCACTGCTGCCCTTTGCACAAAATAACCCACTTAAGTTGAGGCATGGTTGCACTGTAACCGACATTAGTCTGTGGGAAACCCATTTAACTGTCACACACTCCTGCCACTCCTGCTCTCCCTTAATTAAGCCTAATGCCTTATGCTTTGACCTTTTGTTCTAGCCTATTAACCCTATCTAGTACAAGTTCAATTATGTTAAACTAAAAACTTTGCTGCAAATATTAAGTGCCAATCTTAAAAAAAAAAAACATAAGGAATATCCTCCCACTCTTAAGTTGTATGCACGCTGATACTCAATGCATTCAAAAAATAAAACCTCGCTTGCAGAGCAATGCTGAGTCTTACAGAGTTGAGAAAAATCAAATTGTAGTTGAGGTACAACCTCCTTATTTTACAAAAGAAAGTGACACCCGAAAACATTAAATAACTCCATCCACTTCATTGCTTTTCCACAGCAAAGCCACGCTAAAACCTATCTAATCCCCAGCTCTAATTCTTTATTCTCCATGGTGTCTCTGATTAATAGTTAAACCACCCAGCACTGTGTTAAGAACATAACACTTTCACCACTAATTATTACCTTTCAGCATCCTTTAGAATATGTTACACAAACAGGCCTAAAAGGAAAACAAATAGTGACTTCCATACAGTGTAGACGCATTTTTTCCTTCCTTCTGCTACACACCAGAACTTCCTACCCCCAGACTACCTCTTTTCCCTTTTAAAACTAATCACGGTCCTTGAGAATTGCTAAATTTTACTGAACTGACAAGGCCATATGCATATATATTTTTTTCTTTCTTGGCGCTTCACTGAAACATTTATACTATTACCAATGACATAAGAGACAAACAGCAATTAATACTTGCTACTTAATCTTTACTGGAAACGCTCACAGCTGCTGAACTTTCAAGATAAACCTTTTTATACCTATAGGTACCTAGATTGTTTATATTTACCAGAATTACAAAAAAGTGAACAATTTATACTATAAAATAAAGTCAACTGTAGTACAAATAGGTACTATCACAAAGGTACTTTAGTTTTATCACATAATGGAAGCTATTATTTCTCCTTCAATTTACTATTTTTGCCTCTCACTGTGACACAAGAAGCAAAGCATCAGCAACATAAAACCTACAAATCTATGACCACGACGAGAAAATAAATATTAAGTTTAGATGTTTTTAATTTCGTATTTGTGCTTGACTAAGGCCCATTTTTACCAATTTTCAATATAATCAATGTCAGTAGCTCTTACTCTATCAATTCTGAGAGCTAACCTGCCATTAATGGTATATAACATTGCAAAAGTAAGAGCATTTAGAACTGTGCTGAACACAACAAC